AAAATCAAGTCGTTCTATCCTAATAAAAAGAAAAAAAAAAAAAAAAAAACTAAGGTAACGATATATACTATTCGCTATGCACTTGGCCGACAAAACATGATATCCATTGTGCATTGCTACAGTAATGAGCAAAGCTACTGCCGGTTGTTAGGTGCGCGTTAGGCTCGAGGAATTCAAGGAATGCGATCGCGAGTTCGTATTACTCCTTGAAAACTGGAGCCTATGGATGAGTCAGAGCTAGCCCTTCAGGTATTTCGTCCTCGTTCAAACAGCAGTGACTCATTTGGCAGTGATTCATTCGACAACCTGCGAGAGAAACACGCTTTCTAAACCTTCTATCCGCTTGCACGTTGCCTTCGGTATTTATACGAACCGATCGGTCGTTCCAACTTCTGCGTCATTGCTTGTTGGCAATGCGAACAGAAACGTGTCCCAACGACGATGCCTCTGAAGATGCAACGAAGCTGTATGTGTGTACGCGAGGCAGAGAAAGGGAAAGAAAAATTTCAGAGGACGCTGGGTGGGTGGGTTTGTACATTTGTAATTTTGGAAAGCTAGACAGTGGGTTAGCCGAAAGTTTCTGGATAGCCGCGTAAAACCAGAAGCTTGGGAGGGTCAGAAGACCCCTTCTGGAGGGGGAGAGAGAAGGCGGAAGAGAGGCAGAGCGAGGCTAGACTAAGAAAACAGGTCGGAGCCACGCGACCGGCCTGCCTGCGCCTGCGTCTCCTCTTCCACCTTCCCTTTCCTCGCCAAGCGCTCTCGCTTTCCCGCCAAAAAACCTACGATACTCTCTACGCCACCTTCAAAGCTTATCAAATTTATTTCGACTTGGGCCAAACGCGGTCACGCCATTCACGTCCCTCGCTCCGGTTTCGTTGTATTACACCTCGACAATTCACGACTACTAAATTGTTTGGTATCGAACGTGATCGTTCAATCGAGACAAAGTTTTCGTCAGTTTCTGTCAGAAATATATATATATATATATATATATACACACATTTCGAATATATGGTTTCTCAAGAGTATCGCAAATTTCGAGAAACGAAGAAATGTCCAAGTAACTCGCTGAGTCACGAGTACCAACGAGACGGAGCCATTCTTCTTCGGAAGGAAATTATCGAAAGATCATTGTACTCACCGTGGATATTGGTTTGTCTGGAGTACGGATTGCTCCGTTTCTTCGGCGATTGTTCGTACTTGTCGTGGCGTTTCCTTTGCTGGTAGCTGTTCTCCTTGTCTTCGGACCGCGGATCGACGCCCCATCGTTTGGCGAATTTGCTTCGTTCCGCGTCGAGCGCCTCGTGCAGCATTTCCACGGTTTCCCTCGAGTTCGGCTTGCCGAACAAGCAACGTGGTACGCGCGACGAGGCCATCGTCGTGCTGGACAACGCTGTGAAGTGAACTTCGCGACGGATCGATGCTGCCAGCATCTCGAAGACTTCTTCTGTTTTTTTTTTGACCAGATTCCAGCAACCAGCAGCAACTCGCGAGTGAGCACTCGATTTCTCGATCCTTTCTTCACTCCGTTTGTTACGATTAGCTCGAGCGTCCACGTTCCGTGTGTTCCACGTAATTTTCTGTTTCACCGTGCGTTCGGCGTTCCTCGGCGAACCGTCTCTCCGATACTTTCACCGATTTCCTTCGACTTTTCAGTCAAGATTTCTCGAAAATTCCG